TGATTATGGCTGCCGTATGTTGCTCTCTGTTTTTAGGAGAAGAAGATGCCAAGTGTGATTATGTGATTTTAGGGAGTCTGCTCCTGTGTAAGTTGAGCCGAAGTAGGCCCAGTCTACTGCTAAATTGACACCATTTCTCTTATTATTTTATTGGGAGTATTATATAAAATAATTAATCATTATAAATTTATAAGGGTGTTGCTATGTGTGTAATAAGAACAGTTTATCAAAAGTTTATCTTATCGGATTATATGAAAAAGGTCAAGAATCTTACTCGATAAGAGGTAAAACAAAAAACGAGAGTCTTACCCGGTAAATGAGAATGACAGACGCTTAATGGGTAAGATTGTTGTATACAATGTCATTTTGATGGTTATAAATTTTACACTGTAAAATTTAGGAAGATGAGTCTTATCAGTAAGCACTTACTAGGTAGCTCTAAAATTACACCAAAATCGCTTTCTAGTTACATCAAAATTAAGTCAAATCATAAATTTAAATGTAAAGATGTTTTATTTGTGAGGATAATATTTATAAATTTGTGTGCGTTTAGCAAATAAAATCTGTATTCTTAGGGGCCATTTACCCAATTGCTTACCCGGTAAGGGTTTACCGATAGGAGTCAACACTATGATTTATTTTGATGCGTAAGATTTTACTATATCAAAACATATTGAATGCAACAATTTAGTGGGTAAGCGCTTACCTGGGTAATAGTTGTCATCCTCACTTACCGGGTAAGACTCTTCATCATTCTCATCGCTCTTACCCGGTAAAATCTTTGACCTTTCTCATGTTCATCCGATGAGGAAATTTATCTGATAAATACTTACCAAGTAAGTGTTTAGTAAACGACCCCTTAATCTACTCATTATTAAAGTGACACCTATTTTAATAATATTGTTTTATAATCCCACTTTGGGGCCATCTTTTTGGTCCACAAATAAAGGTACATCAAAGTAACCTTTTGGACTTTATTGAATATCAAAAGATGTCGAAGGGTTTAGATTTTTGTAAAAAGGATGTTAAGGATAGTGCTTTGACATCATCGATATTGCTTTGAAATTATCGTCACCTCGGCCAAGTTTGGACTGATTCTCTTAGCATTTTATGAGGAGCTGATTAAATAATGTAAGTGTTAAAGTTTACTGTTAAAATAGTTATAAGGTGATAGAACTTAATTTGAACAAGTCTAAATGAAGTTTGATGCAACGGCAAGTGCCAATCACTTTGTTGGGAGAAAAATAACCTTCCAGGATTATTCTGACATTGTAGGGAGAAGTTCTTAAGGTTAAGAATCTAAGGTGAGTTTCATTTGATATTTTTGGGTTGCATAGAATAAACGTTTTTCATTTGATATTATGATTTGTTTTTGCTTTGTGAAATGAGATTACGAAAATTTGATGCAATAATGCATGAAAGTGGTTATAATTGCACATTATGTTATGTGTGGCAGTCGTTGACTCACATAGTGGGAGTTGGGTATTTGGGACAATGATGGTCCATAAGGGAGTTGCTAGGGCCAGACCTACTAAGGGCCGAGGGTCTCGTGCTATCATTCACTTGATTTTCGTCTTTTAAATTATTTGATATTTCGTCTTTTAAATTTCGGCTACCAGGGATAGCAAAGGTATAGCTACAAGGATAACTATAAGCATAACTACTACCATGTCGGAGAGGTTTTTTGTTATTCTTTCTCCTATTTTGATTTATTTACTTTTCTTCGTGATATATTTTTCTTCTCATTGCATATCCATCTTAAAATCACCGCTTTTTATCCCGCTTTCAAGGCAACATATATTTATTTTAGAGGTAGGTCGATTCCATTTGAAAAAAATGTATTTTATTCCCCAAATCAACATAATTGACTTTTTATTGAGCCAAACCGCATCGACTTTCCCTTAGGTCAAACCGTGACTTTGTGGGTTTTTGATCCACCTTTAAGGTGCATCAGATGAGAGAAATTCTTTGGTCTGACACTAGGAGTTGCTGTAAGAACAAGACGAATGTGTTTTCTCGGGCTTTTTTTGTTATCTGTAACAGCAAGACAAACGTATTTTTGCCATGATATGTCATTCATAAGAGCATGAAAAGTGTATCATGCTAGGAAAAGAGAAGAATGAGTTGACGCTAGATTTTCACAACCAATGTGTGTTGTCAACATAGTCAAATATGATTATTGGATAATACATGTATATTTATGACAAAGTTGCACATATGATATTTTACAATGTGTTTCTAAAATGAATGACCCCATTATTGCATAAATCCATAATTGTCACTAGGCTTTAAGCTTACCCAACTCCTTTAAATGATGCAACCTAGGCTTATATGAATCTAGACGAGAGTTATGACAAGAAGTCACTTATGGATCTAGACGTGTAGTTGGAGTCCATATAATAGCATTATCTCGTGTTTGAGGTTTTTATGTTTTGTTGGGATTTAAGATTCGATCAATATTCATTTTATGTAATTTGAGATAGTATTTCCATTATGATGTTAGTATATGATATTGGGATGATTTTTGATGGAATATCTGAGTGTCTAAAATTTGAGATGTTACAAGAACCGATGAAGCACTTTCTCAACATACCCTTTCCACAAGGTATAGCTTTATCGTCTTTCTATCGCAGATAATCTCCATACCAAGAATTCTCTTTGCGGCTCCCAGATTCTTCATATCAAATTATAAATTCAAAACCTCTTTCATATATTTAATTGTTAAGAGCATGTCATTCATATACAAGAGTAAATACAACAATGACCCGTTATCATAATTCTTGAAATAAACACAGTTGTCATATGAAGAAATTTGATAAGTCGTATGCGGTCACAAAGACATTGAATCTCTTGTACCGTTGTTTGGGAGACTGTTTGATGCCATAAAGAGATTTCAATAGCTTACATATGTGAACTTTACCAAAACCCACAAACTATTTCAGTCGTTGTATGAATATCTCTTCCTTAAGTTCACTATTTAGAAATGTGGATGTTACATCCAATTGCTCAAGTGCATACGTTGGACGCAACCATCCTGAGCAATGCACGTATGGAAGTATGTTTCACCACCAGTGAGAAATGTTGTTATAGTCAATGCCATGAATTTGACTATACTCTTTTGTGACCAACTGAGCTTTATACATTGGTTGCTCATTTGGAGTTGTCCTTTCTTTGAACTTATAAACCCATTTATATCTAATCGACTTCTTGCTTTTTGGAGCTGGAACAAGCTCTCAAATGTCGATTCTTTTGCAAAGATTTCAACTCTCGTGCATTGCCATCATCCATTTATCCACGTCTTTAACTTTCAGAGCCTCACTATAAGAAGTAGGCTCAACAGTGTTTTTCATTTCTTTTGCTACGCTCAAAGCATATGCTACTAAATCCGTTTCTCGAGTATACTTCACTGGGTGTACAATTTGGCTCATCCCTCTATCTCACGCAATGCACGACTCGGGCAATTGTGGTAAAGGTTGTGATGTACAATTACCCACAACTTGAACACTTGAATACTTGAAGAGGGTGAAGAAATAGATTGTGAATTAAGATCATTAGTAACATAAGTACTCGATGTTAGGTAAACTCTTTGTCATAAACAATTTATTACACCATATTCTATAAGTTGTTTCCTCTCCAGCAACATCCTATAGGATATCATTAAATAAATACAATCTAGTTTGATGTTCTCAAGTCATTCAATTCATTATCCTCTTCTGTCCAAGCATTTGGCATAAAATCCGATCTAACTCACATTTATGCAAACTTTGTTGGACAAGAACATCTCTCATTCTTATCTTACATAACAGATATTGAGTATTTTGATTCAACAAAGGCAAATTAAAATTCATTGTCTACATAACCAACACTTAGCAAATAGATTCTAGAGCTCTAATACCAATTTTTGTAGAAATAACAAGACCCAAGTAGCAATAAAATGTCCAATGATTGGTTGAGTTTGTATTAAATGTTTTTAAAAAATAATTAAGGTTCATCATCTTGTTTATAACATACCCATGATGGTTTCTTGAAGTTTATCGATTAGCATGTTGAAATTAGAAACAACATTCAATCATAACTGACATTTCTTGTTTATTTTTCTTTGATATCTTGCACATAGCATCTAAGAATGTCATATGTTGTTTCAAGGCCGGGAATGAGCTCCAACTTTATCAAGATTGCTACATAATATTGTTGAAATACTCACACTTCTAGTTTAGGGTTTGTAAACTTTCAATTATATTTTCTATAATATTTGTTTATTGCAAAGGCTAGTCCATATATACTTAAGATTGCTAGGGTTAATTAATACGCAAATTATTCCAACAATCCTAAAGTTTCTTCTATTACTTGGTCAAATGAACGGAGGAAAAAGGAATCTCTTTTTCGCTTTGCAAGTATTGTTTAGTGTCGTTTGATATGAAAAAAGTTTTGTGATACCAAACTGGACTTCATAAATCGGAAAGACTTTATTCTCGTGTTATCCCTTGATATATCATATAATGACACAAAAAATTGAAATAAGTAAATAATTTGTTGATTAATGAAGAATACCTTTGAATATGAATACTACAGTTGAATTTGTGTTAGTTTACTGATCCATTTTATATACATACCATATGTCAGTAATAGTGTGTTACTTTCATGGTTGAAAATATAATAGTCGGGGTTGATTAGTTTGGTGAAATCAATTAGGGTTTGGATCTTTTTTCTCAAAAGATTAAAAATCTGAAAGTTGTTTTTTGTTTTTGATTTATTTATTTTTGGAAATGCATCAATATGCAACTCTGTGAACCTTTTCTTTATTGTTGCATTCTAATCTCAAATACAATGCCACAAACATCTACTTTTGCTACTTATACACACGAATAGTGGTGAAAGATCATCGACAAAAGTGTCTAAACCTCAAGTACTTGGTTTTAAAGTTTATTGTTTGCTTAACGTTTTATTATTATCTGCCCGTTTTGTAGATTATGGAAGGCAGAGCCAAAGATCAAAATAACCATGTTGGTTGATACTAGTTCTGATCATCGTTCTTTTAGTATGGCCTCAAGACTGGTTGTCTCTAGACGATGCCTTCCTAGATTCAGATGTCTGATTGTCTTAATGATTGTGCCAGTTTGTTTTACAATGATCTTTAACCACTATGAAAAGATCACTTACTTTTTGCGGCCGCTTTGGGACACACCTCCACGCCCATTGACGTACGTTCCACACTATTATGCAGAAAATGCTTCTTTGGCCACCTTATGCCGCCTTCATGGATGGACCTTACGCTCTGAACCCCGAAGGGTCTTTGATGCTATCATATTCAGCAATGAATTGGACTTACTTGAAGTTAGATGGGGTGAACTCTATCCTTATGTCACCAAGTTCATCATTCTTGAATCTAATGCAACGTTTACTGGTATGCCAAAGGCCCTCACTTTTGCTTCAAATCGTGAACGGTTTTCATTTTTCGAGGATAAAATTGTTTATGGTTTTCTCCCTGGGAAATTAGCATCCGGCGGACAGCGTATTAATCCATTTTCAGTGGAAGGACATCATCGATTTTCCATGAATGAATTGATTAGTAGTTCTGGTATCTCTAATGGTGATCTTCTTATTGTAGCAGATACTGATGAGATCCCAAGTGGAAACACCATTAAGCTACTTCAATGGTGTGATGGTATTCCACCAGTGTTGCATCTTGATATGAAAAAGTATTTGTATTCTTTTGAATTCCCAACGGATCCCACCTGGAAGGCCACAAGCCATATATATCATCAGCATACTCGATATATGCATTCACGACAAACAGATCTTGTACTTTCTGATACAGGATGGCACTGCAGCTTCTGCTTCAAGTATCTGAGTGAGTTTGTGGTCAAAATGACATCATACAGCCACGCAGACCGTGTGAAAAACAAAGAACACTTGGATCACTCTAGAATCCAGCAAAAGATTTGTAACGGAGATGATCTTTATGATATGTTGCCTGAAGAATACACTTTCAAGAACTTGATTGGAAAGATGGGATCAATACCCCATTCAGCTTCAGCAGTTCATCTACCAACCTACTTGATAGAAAATGCAGAAAAGTTCAAGTTCCTTCTTCCTGGGGGTTGTCTTCGCCCTCCCGATTGAAACCTTATTGTCAAAAAATCCTCTTAAGTAGCTCTCCTAGATCTTCATGAGGATAAGTACCGTTTAAGAGACATTTATATGAATATCAAATATATAAAGTTATAACTTAGCCAATCTTTTTGATTTGTTGCATTGGTGTTTCTATCATTCCCTAATGTGCCATTATGTTATTCATTTGGTCATATTATCTCCACATATTCATCTTGTATCATATTTGTTAAAATAGACTTGGGTAGTTAGATACATTGCAAATGACAAAGCCTGAATGCTAGGTTGTTTGATACTAGAGGTTGTCTTCAAAATAATTGCAGTGTACTTTGTATAGGGTGACAAAGGTTGCCACAGATAAAATTATGTACATCTTACCTCTTCCATACCCCACTTTCGAGTGGGAGATATCAGGTATGTTTGGATTGGTTTGGTTTACAGTCGCACAATTCTTGTATTTGTATGTGTAAGCATGTGATTTGTTTGGAAATTGTTTATGTGATTAAAAGTGTGCATTTTGCAGACAATAATTTGTATACCATAAAGACAATAGCTTTTGTTGATATCCAGTAAAATATCATAATATGGTCAATTGATCTCTTAATATGCATTGTTTATATGGTAGTTAGCGTTCTATTATCATCTTTGATTGAACTTTCTTTTCAATATACTATTTTCCAAAACAAATTATTTCTTGATGAACATAAAGCACTGTGTTGGTATTCTTGAACATCCTTCTCTAGTTAGTAATTATGTTTGTTGTTCATTGACACAAACCAAAGCAACATTCTTTTGAGTAAGTTTTCAATAGCAATGACTATAACATATAATATGTTATTTGTATAAGTGGGAGATAAGTTCTCGGAGATGTAGACCAGGAAACAGACTTTGGGTAGGGACTTGTAGCTTGAACGGGAGGAGGGGAATTACAAAAAGTTAGAGGGTGAGTTAGGGTAAGGGTATTACGATGACAATTAGGTGGCCAAAGTATTACATCAAACAAAGTGTTCGTCCCAAACGGATCTACAAGAGTTTATAGGTAACAGTTTGTAGAAAGGGGGATGAATACAAACACATAGTTTTCACTTTTTAAATTATTTTATTGATAAAAGAAGATCAATACATAATTTACAGATTATTGCGGAAGAAGATAAGATTAAGAATTTATATAAGCAATCTTGGAAGCACACAAGTTACACAAAAAAGCAAGAGAGAAAGTGCTTGCTCAAGAAAGATCTTGAGAAAGTTTGTGTATGCTTGTCTTAGCTTAAGTGTGCTTTGCTTTGCTTCGCTTGCTATGAAAAGAGTCTTCTTAGCTATAGTCAGAGGGTGCAAAGCACGTGGCAAACTTCTAGAGGAGAGTTTGTCTTTTGTCTTCAGATATTCAGGCTTTTGGCCATATATGAACAATTGTCTTCCAAAAGTAGGTAAGCACACTTGGAGACAATAAAGTAACTATGTACATGTGTTTTACTATGTGACGTATGGGGTTGTCATTTTTGTGTAGAAGGACAAGACAAAAACTAATCTTGTAGAACAAGATTCATTTCATCACTGACACTTGCTTAATTATTGAGTTTCTTCAGTGTTTGTTGAATCTTGATTATATTTCACACATGATGTAGACACACTTGTTATCACTGAATTCGTTTCAGATCACGAACTGTTGTCTCTATTTTCAGCTATATCTTTGACATTGTTGAAGGTTCCTTTGATGTGAATTTAGTCTTCTTGAAAAATACTTGTCGTTTAGAGAAGTTTGCAATACATGTTCAACGATCACTGAACAGACTTAGTGATGACTGCTGAAACTGAACAAAAACAAAATAAGTATTTTTTGCTAAGTATAAATGATTGGTAAGTTATTTTTCACACTCTTAGACTTATAAAATGAACCACAAAACAAGTATACAATTTGGTCTAATGTCGTCTTTTCCAAGTAATAAATGGTAAAAAATCGGTTATCGTCCACAGAGATTGTAGTAAAGGCTTAATAAGAGTCCAATGAAAGAAATGATTTCAGATGATGAAATTGAAGACTTCGGTTGGATATGAGTTAACAATAATGAAATAACATAATATAAAAGGGTAGCATAGGTGTAAGACTTGTGATGAGATATAAACACAAATTCCAGCAGACAATGTTGTAGGAATGCTACAACAAGCAATAGGTCATAACTAGTTCCACCATCTATTTTGAAGGCATTCCTCTCGGACTTCCACCATTGCACTATATTATAGCTTTCAACTCATATCTCTATGTGGTATCCGGACCAGGGATAGTGACGAAATGGCGTCTTCAAAATTATATGGATAAACAAACCTATTTGTTAAAAATCACTCTTTCGAACCGATTCCCATATCATTCAAGTTGGCGTGTAGGTAGTTCATCTCTGAATCTACCACACTTTAACACTTTTAACAAGCGACCAACCTATCCAGAATTAATTAGTTTTAAAGATATAAATGACAAGTCTCCTTGTCGGTAACTTTCTCAAAATACCTCTCATATCATTCAAGTTGACGTACATTTAATGACTCAATGGCTTATCTCTAAGACTATGACACTTCAACACTTTCAAAGTGATCAACTCGTCAAGAAGTGTCATTGGTTTTTATAAAATCTTGAATGGAATTGTGGAACATTGTTATTGCGAAACAACGTCCATTTTCCTTCGGTTTAACATCTCATCCTTTGTCTCACACCCAAACTAATGGAATTAGCTACTCATTACGGAAAGTAAATGACAAGAAATATAAAGAACAGAAAATAAATACATAAATATAGATGATGAAAAGTAAATGACTGAATGTAAATAGCGTAAATTAAATAACAAGAAAAGTAAATAAAGTAAAGAAAAGAACAATGTTGTAGCAATATATCTTAAAGAACAATTTTTAAAGATATTCAAGAACTAACTTGAATATAGAGAGTAACTTCATATCTGAATCTGACTAAGGGATGAACAAAATGAGTTCTAAAGGGTGTTATTTATACAAAAATACCAAAAAAAAAGACAAAGCTCTTGGGAAAACAAGGGCTCCTAAAAAGGAGATAAAAGGTATAAAAGTAGTATCACATTAAGTTCAAAAAACACTTTTTCAAAAGTCTTTTACTTCAGATATTTAGTCCTTATCCAAGAGTTCAACAAAAAATTGTCTTTATCTTCATGCAGCAGTTGAATTCATAAAGCCCTTTCAAAAAGTCATTTCTTAAAGATCAATGCTGGAGGAATGCTGCAGCACAGAACAGTAGGCATTCAAGTTTAAGATTTAGCTACTATAATGATGTAAAGACAAGCCAATCACTTAATTTAGCTATAAGTATAAACAAAAGATAAATAATGTAATAAAAAGGACTCCAGGTTGGGATAAAAGAAAATAAACTACCTAAAAGTAAAGAAATAGACGTTTCATGCCTTGAATAATCAATGCATATCAAGGATCGTCATCAAATCACTGAGAGAGTTTGGATCAACAATCTCCCTCTATTTGATGATTACAAAGCAACTTAAAAGAAAATTGCTTAGTTGTTACAATATGGAAAAAGAACTTGTAAGATACATGTCTTTTTTACGGTTTTTGGGATCTTTTTCAGTGTCAAAGTATATTATGGAAATCCATATATTTGTAAAAGATTACAAAAGAGAAAATGAAGTTACTAACCGTAATAACTCAATACTGAGAGCATATTAACTGACAAGATATAAGTCAGAGAATGTAAGAGAAATAGCACGCATAAGTACTTGTGGCATTTACTCTTTTTAGGGGTTTTTTCAGTGAACCAACAAATACATTGAAATTTCATGCAAGACAAAATATTACAAGTGATTACAATTGGTATGATAAGTTTAAAAAAGATAAAAACTATACACTACAAGAAAAGAAAAGTAGAAGGTTACAAGATCGAAAGGCTTCATTCGAGATCTTTGAAGGAGATGTAGTCAGGAACATCTTCTCCTTAACTCTTTCTTTTCAGCATTTCTTTTCGAATCTTGCGGTCCATCATCTCTCTAAAGAGGTCTTCATTCAATCAAGTATGAAGATACTCTAGATGATCCGTTGGGCATAAATGGAACTCAGGTACTCGTTGGAACCTGTATTAACCGTCATAATCAATGAACATAAGTCTATACTCAAGTTTCACGTGCATTGTGTTGGGAGTGAAAGGTCCATTCTCAACAGGTGCTAGTTTCATTATATCACAAGGATGTACCACATCTGTTATCCACCTCTCACTCGGAGAGTGTGGATATTGAAATAAGTAGACCGTTGCCCCACTCTACGACATCGTTTGTATGCATATCAAGTCTAGAACCTGATAGCTATTAGGACACGTACAATTGGAGCATCTGTTGCCCAACCAATGGTTCTTGATGAACACACTGGAACATCCAGAGTGGTATTTTCTACAGATACTTCATGAGGACATGATGGAAATCCTACCAGTGCTACACCATTGCTAACACTGTATGTAGGTCATACAGTTGATTCAACTGTCATGTTAATAGGAAGGCTAAGTGCCCTTGGTGGTCATTTACTCGAAACAACGACACATATGTTGGCTGGTGCTCTAGTTGCCGTCCAAGCCTCCAATGTACAACCAGGTGGATGAACTAAAGCAACTACTGAAGGTAAAATCGGTCATGGAGCATGTGAGTCCAACTCCACCGCCACGACGACCACCTACTCTTGAGCCTAAACAACCAGTTGAGTGCTCAACTAAAGAGCTGAAATCTCTCTTATATGCTAAGCTGTTGTTCAAGGCAGATGAGGGAGGACAGGTGGAAGCTAATATCATCGGCACCCAGGGCACAAACCCAGCCTGGGTATGTCACGAGTCCGAAGTTCAACGCATTTCAAGATGAGTCCTAGGCAGTTTTCGAGGTCTCACTGCACAGCTGAATAACGTGGCAGACACCATTGGATCATGTTTCCAGACCTTGTCCAAGAGGATTTTGATCTTTGAGGACACATGTAAGAGTCAGGCAGGTGGGTTAAAAAGACGACATGATGACGGGGATGACGACCCCGATTACCATGAGGGGGAGAAACGACAAAGAACCACCAGCCATG